CTGCAGAGAGATAGAAAGAGGAGGGAGGGGGAGGAAACAAATCAGGTTAGAAGGACTTCATCCTGTGACCCGTCAGAAGGACATGAGTCCTTTTGAACATGTTGCATGTATCTTCTTCTACCATCGTCTCTGTGTCTCTCCCTCCTCCCTCTGCCCTCCTATGGAGCTCCAAGAAAAATTCCCAGACTGACATTGTTGGCAGGCGCTCTCCACCCTGGCCCAGGCTGGCAGCCCATGAAAGAGCATCGCAGGGTATTGTTGAAATAATAATCACAGTAATCGCTCTTGTAAATACCTCGGAGATGGTAAAGCAGCACCGCTCTGTCAGCCAAAGCATTTTCTCAAGAAGGCGTTCCTGTTCATGATGAGTAATCCCTGCTCGTTTCACTTTAACAGGCATATTCTCCTTTATTTAAAATGTTATGCCTTTTTACACTCCACAACAGTCTCACCGGGCTCTGTTGTTTGAGCAGAGGGTGTCATAGATATTTAGATGCTGTTGAAGTGAACACCAGGGGCACTCCGGCATTCTGAGACGATGATAACAAAAAAAAAGTAGAGGATTGACACAAGTGCCCTCGCTACAGAGCTGGCAAGTGTCTATCATCAACCAGCAGGAAAAAACATGAAATGAAATAGCTGTTATTAATCGAATTAAAAAGATAGAAAAAAAGACCCCCCTGTCTCTGTATCAACAGCCTTTTGTTTGCATAATTGCTGATAAAAGGTTGATGAGAGTGTTGCGATGACCTACGCTGCTATAAAGATAACTTCTCAAAGGGCATTTTCTCACACTTGAGCTGCAGGTGAGCACCGACAGGCACCAAATTAATTCAGGAAGAGGACTCTCCTGTTGAGATGCTGTAGAGGCAGAGACGATCTGAAGAAAGACAGGCTCAAAGAAGCAAAGGGAAAAAAAGCGAGAGGAAATTTGCTCTTGGTGAGCTTTTCTCATGAGAAACGGGTGGCTCTCTTGGCTGGGGATCTGGGGGTCTTAACAGTGTCCGTCCCCTTTTCAGTGTGCGTCAGCGAGATTGGAATCTCTTTGGAAACATACTGGGGAGATGAGAGAGCGGAATGGAGACAGTTGGAATAACAAAAAAACAAAACACAGAGGTAGTGAGAGAAAGACACACACACACACACACACACACACACACACACACACACACACACACACACACACACACACACACACACACACACAGAGTCAGATAAGAGAAACAGGTGAGTGACCGTGGGAGAAACAAGAAGGAAACAGAGGCTGAGAGACGATCTACACCTGGATCAAACGCTGGCTCTATGTAAAGGCTGTACAGTTCAGTACCAGTACAGCACACACTAAGCCAGCAATCTTGTCCAAACACTGAACCGCCGCTGCCCTGCACCTGGTGGCTTGGAAAGGACCTGACGGCTCTCCTGTCAGCGCCTCCACATTATAGGCCTGGCAGCTCGTGACACGGCCACTCTGTGACGACACGGGCCAATGACGGGGCTGTCTGCAGGAGGTGAGCAACAGGACCTTTCATCACATAGATGACACCCACCGAGAGAATTGTTGATGCTTTAATCTCCGCTCCCAGATGTTGGAGGCGCTTGGGCCTTGATAAGCAGCATCACAAGGCTGGGAATAAAGAAATGCTGCCAGGATTGACAAGGTAGTGACAGCAATAAAATAAAAATAAAACAGCCTGAAGTGAAGCAACCGGGGAGTTTTTTAGTTGAAATAAATTATTTGAGTATGAATTTTTTATTCTATTAATTTGCATGTCAATTTTGGGGGAATTGTTTGTTTGTTTACAGTATTGCTATGCACTTACAAAACGGTGTGTGTGTGCAGCTTAGGGCCACACACATTCAAACCAACTTCTCTAGAAAATAAGAAAACTTAATGTGTTTACGTGGCTTTAGGGCCTACTATGGGACCACACTTTTCAAAGTCAGCCCAGGAGAATGTTGCCAGGAAGGGAGAGTGAGAGAAACGCAGCAGAAGAAAAACAAAAAAAGCCCCACCAAACCTCTCCTCTGGCACTGTGGGAGATAATTAGCTATCGGAGACATTTGGAGAATCTGACACAGAGCACGCTGACGTTACCCCTGTGACTACATCCCAAGTTCCCACAGAGAGTTAGCCAATTTGTTTAAGACTCTGGCCCAAGATCAACAGCCTCACACCACCCCACCCACCCTGTGATCACACAGACGCCTCTGTAGCCCTGACACACACACACCCTTCTTTTGCCCCTAAAGTTTATCTGCTACAACACACAACCCTCAAAAACACAAAACAAACTGCTGCCAGCCTAAAAACCTAAAGACCTCTCCCCGCACACCATCATCACTGGCACAGCCCAGAATAAACTAGGCCACTGATTTGTAATGCTAGCTTGCTGACGCTAAGCTTTAGGTCACAGGCTGGAGTATTTGTTGTAGGTGGCCACTTAAAAAAATGTTAGTTATGAACCATTTGGTGCCCTCTAATGATCCTTAATCATCGGAAAAAAATACAAAAAAGGATTTTGGACAAGGTGAACAACTGCTGCTAACAAGGTGCTCCGTGGAGGCTCCTAATTCTATTTTATGTGTGTTACTGTAGGAACTGGTAAACACTTTAACGAGTGGTGACCGCAGACTTGTGCACATTTAACACCAGCCACGCTCACATGTACACCAAAATAATAGGGGCATGGCGCAACAGTTAAGTGCGAGTAAGATGTCAGCGCTGCTCGCATCATTGGATCGCAGCCTCGGCTCAATCACACTTCCGATTGTGCATCTGGCTCTGAACAGATAGTCATGGCTCTCTGCTCATCAATAGGCACATTGCCAACCAGTCAAATAAACCAATGAGTATGCAGATGTACGTCTGTATGAGACAGAGCAATAACAATGCTTGTTGCAAGTATTAGCGCAGCATTGCATAAGTAATTATTGCTGTTCATGTTGTTTCCTATGTGCGGGCATCTAGGGGAAACCAGTCCGTTGTCTGCAGAGTAACAGCAGATCTAACCATTGCTTTTCCTTCTACTATCTGCAGACAAATAGTGCTTGAGTGTGCTCTGGATGGTCTTGCAAGCCAGCTGAATATCATCAAATTAGCATGTGCATTATAACACATAAAAATCATCATGTCATACATTTGTCCGCTGATCAGAATTGGACTGCATGTCTGTTCGGCCTGAAATCAATGCAGTAATTTCTGAGCTGCAGAAGACTGGGTAAAAAGGATTTGCTCAGTGAAATAGCTTTTAGCCATCCAGACAGTTATAACAGAGGCTTCTCACAAGAGCTCCAGAGGCAGACTGGGCCTTTGCTCTTGGTATGTGCAAAGAGGCCTGACAGAAGGAAGTGCTCAGCCACTTGTACCAAAAGCAGTCAGTCATTCTGAAAAGCTTCAGCGAAAGGAAGCTTTGCACTTCTTAAGAACAAAGTCGAGTTAAAGGTTCCTACAGGTTTTTGGCTTGAGGTTCCATGAGCTAAGCGTTCAGATGGTTCTGCTGTGTTTGACTGCAAGGACATATTTGAGGGAAAATGGAAAAGGAGAAAAATGAGGAAAGTATTTTTATTGGAATCCTGCTTTACTCTGACACTGCTCGAGGGGAGCTCTAATTGGATCAACAACTGTCTGATTCCCATCAGCAAGCTTGACCTGTCTGCCCAGACAGAGGAGGCTGAGTCTTATGGGAAGGAGAGAAAAAAAGGAGGGAGAGAATGAGAGGCACGGAAAGACACATGAGGAGGGAGGGAGCACAAGGGACATCGTGCTAGAAATAGACACAGATTTAGTAGTCCTGATAGAACATATGACAGGTGAGAGGGACAAATGAGAAAGGACGTGGACAAGAATGGAGCAGCATATATGTCGCCATTTTCAGAGTGAAACGGGCGAGCTCAGAATGGCCGCCAACCAGGAAGGCAGGCAGCTTCACTACAGGGAGGGCTTTGATAGATTCCAGTCAATAGCTCTCACAACTGCCACACTGGCCTCACATCTTTCAGCGCGGAAATGAAGACAGTCTGCCAGCCGTTTTGCTGACAGGGACGGCACACATGGCTCAATGACACGGGCCGATAAATGGAGAGGGCACTGAGCGGGAGAGAGAGACAAAGAGGGAGAAGGAGAGGGAGATAGATGGAAAGACGGGTACAGTGTCATAAAGAGTCAAAAAGACATGGAAGGGAAGAGACGGAGATACTTTCAATGGTAGGAGTGACAGGCGCAGTCCCCCCCCCGTGCAATCCATACTTTATAGATGAGTGAGATTAGTATAGGGAGGAGGATGTCAACAAAGCCCTGCTTCTCACTCTGCATCCGATACACATGCTCTATGGCTATTGATTAGCCCTTGCTCAGACTTTCCCATAGAGGGCCCCTGCAGCCGGCACAGGCCTGAGATCATATTATGGATTACGGGAAGGGAAGTGGAGGGAAGAGCCCTGGATGCAGGCGGTAGAAGCCTGATCGATGAGCTATTGCGCACTTAACAAGAGTAATGTTTTGTAGGAAGTCTCTGACATGCTAATCCATCTCTCACTCCTCTCCGTACATCTACCTCCATTGCATCACTCTCTGTGGTTATCCATCTATCTATCTATCCATCCATCCATCCATCCATCTATTTCTTCATGAATCGCTGAGCAGACTGAGCCCAAACCAGCTTTAGACAAATAATAAGTTGTGGAAGATTCTGCATTAAAAACAGCTGTAATTATTTTAGCAGATGAAATTATGCTTGCACCTTCGAGTATTGAATCTGAATTAATCTTCTCCAGCAAGTGCAGCGCCAAACAGGCGGGGGCTTTCCAGCTGCTAGCAAACCCCTGTGTGAAAAGCTCTGAGGTACCAGTTGAACAAGATATTCATTTGAGCTTAATCAGCTAATTCCACTCGCCATTCCCGACGCTAAGGTTGCCATGGTGAGAAAAACAAATTACTAAAAACAACAGACACAGTTATGCGAGTGAGAAGAAGTTAGTACATGTGTTTGCCAGCTCCTATA